GTATGTTCTTTGGCTAATCTCTTCACCTTCCATTATTCTGTCCACCCCACCCACCTCCCCTCTAACACCTGTCCGTCTGTACCATGTGTCCATGTCTCTGGTTTTAGTTTGTTCTCAAGTTATTTTGTTCATTAGATTCCACATATAAGTGAGATCACATGCTATCTGTATTTCTCTGACTAGCCTATTTCACTGAGCATTATCTCCAGGTCCAACCATGCTGTTGCAAAAGGTAAGAGTTCCTTCCTTTATACAGCCATGTAGTACTCCATTGTGTAAATGTACCACAGCCTTTTTATCCACTCATCTACCGATGGGCACTTGGGCTGTTTCCAGATCTTAGCTACTGTAAACAATGCTGCTATGGACATAGAAGTGCATATATTCTTTCTGATTCGTGTTTTGAGATTCTTAGAATATATTTGCAGAAGTGGGATCACTGGGTCAAAAGGAAGTTCCATTTTACATTTTCTGAGGAAACTATACTGTTTTGAATTCAGCAAAGTAGCAGGATACAAAATAAACATCCAGAAATCAATGGCATTTCTATACACCAATAATGAACTATCAGAAAGAGAAACCAAGAAAACAATTCCATTTACTACTGCAACAAAAGAAAATAAAGTACCTAGGAATAAATTTAACCAAGAAGGTAAAAGACCTGTACTCAGAAAACTATAGGACATTAAAGAAAGAAACAGAGGGAGATATAAACAAGTGGAATCATGTATATGTTTATGGATTATAAGAAGTAACATCATTAAAATGTCCATACTACCCAAAGCAATCTATAGAATCAATGCAAACCCTATGAAAATACCAATGGCATATTTCACAGATCTAGAAAAAATATTCCAAAAATTTATATGGAACCAAAAAAGACCCCAAATAGCCTTAGCAATCTTGAGAAAGAACACAGTTGGAGGGATCACAATACCATTATCAAATGATACTACAAAGCCATTATAATCAAAACAGCCTGGTACTGGCACAAGAACAGGCATATAGATCAATGGAACAGAACAGAGACTCTAGAAATCAACCTATACCTCTCTGGTCAATTAATATTTGATAGAAGAGGCACTTACTTTTAATTAAACTTTTAATTTTGTAATAATTGCAGACTCACATGCAGCTATAAGATATAATGCAGAGATCCCAAGTACCTCTGTCCCAGTTTTTCCCAATGATAACACCTTGTAAAATTATATTAAAATATCACAACTAGGACAATGGCATTGATACAATCCACTGATCTAGTGAGATGTATTAGTTTTGCTTGTAGTTGTGTGTCTGTGTTTGTATTGCACGGGTAGTTGTGTGTATCCAGTCCAGATACAGAATGCTGTAATCCATCACCGCAAAGGTCCCTCACTGGCCTGGAGAACCACCCCCACTTCCCCCCTAATTCCTCCAACAACTCATCTCCTATCTATTTCTATAATTTTGCCATTTAAAAAGTACTATATAAATACAATCATACAGCATATAACTTTTCAGGACTGGTTTTCTTCACTCAGCATAATTCTCTGGAGATTCACCCAAGTAGTTAAATGTATCAGTAATTCATTCCTCTTTGTCATTGTTGTTTTAGTAACTGTAGGTCCATAGTTTACATTAGGGTTTGCTCTTTGTGTTGTAAATTCTCACAGATACAGAGAACAGATTGGGGATGCCAGGTGGGGTTGGGAAGAATAGGTGATGGGTGAACTTTTTTTTTTATATAGTTTAAATAAGTTGAAAAAACACACAGAACAAAAACAAAAACAAAACAAAACAGGGCTTCTTAGAGAAAGGCTGAGTCCATATCTGGGCAACAAAAAACAAAAATACAAGGTCGGTCTAGGACAATTTGTGCCGGAGGCTTCTTAGGGATGTGTGAGGACACAGAGGCTACCGGGAAGGGACTTCCACTGGCCAACCCTTTTCGATGGCTGGTAGATGTGCTGAAAAAGAATTCTGTAGGTTTTGATAAATTCATAATGTCATGTATCCTCCATTACAGCATCATAGAGAGAGTTTCACTGCCCCAGAAATCCCTTGGACTTTACCCGCTCCTCCCTCCACCCCACCCCTTCTCAGACTCCGGAGCCACTGACTCTGCTGCTATCCACAGTTCTGACACACGTTTCAACTCACCTGGTTGAGTACCTAGGAGCATGACTGCTGGATTACTTGGAGAGACTATGTTTGGTCTGTAAGAAGCTAGAAAACTGTCTTCCAAAGTGGCTGTAGCATTTTGCATTCCCACCAGCAATGAATGGGGACTCCTGTTCTCTGTTTCTGCCCGCCTTTGGTGTTGCCAATTTTTGGATTTTAGTCATTCTCACAGGTGTGTTGTGGTATTCTCTTGTTTTAATGAGCAGGTCCCTAATGACAGATGATGGTGAGCGTCTGTTCATATGCTTATTGGGTGAGGCGTCTATTCAAATATTTTGCTCATTTCTTAATTGGATTGTTTATTTTCTCACTGCTGAGTTTTAAGAGTTCTTTGTATATTTTGGACACGAGTCTTTCATTAGATATGTGTTTGGTAAATATTTTTTCTGTCTGGGGCATGTCTATTCATTTTCTTAATAGTGTTTCTCGCAGAGCAGAAGTTTTTCATTTTGATGAAGTTCAACTTACTTATTTTTTTTCTTTCACATATCATGCTTTTGGTATTGTATCTAAGCCCTCATTGCTAAATGACTATAGCAGCATTTGCAAAAAGCAGTAGGATGGCATCTGACATCACCTTCAGGAATTCCACCGTCACCCAGTCAAGTTTTCTAACAGAAGTCTCCTTTTTAGGTCCACGATTCCTTAATTCTCTAGACCCCAAATCTTTTTTTTTTTTTTTTTTTTTATCCTCACCCGAGGATACTTTTCTATTTTTTGTACAGATAGAGTGGGAGGGAGAGAGAGGAAGGGAGAGTGAGAAACATCGACGTGAAAGGGACACATCGAGTGGCTGCCACCCGCACGACCAACCAGGGCCGGGGACAAACTGCAACCGAGGTACGCGCCCTTAGCGGGAACCGAACCCGGGTCTCTCCGGACCGCAGGCCGACACTCTAACCGCTGAGCCAAACTGGCCAGGGCTCTAGACCCCAAATCTTTGAAGCTATTTGTGCTACTCTGGTGTGAAAGCGGGAGGTCTGGTTTTCAATCCTTGCTCTACCACTAACTGATTCGTGTTGATACTTGGGCAAGCCACACCTCTTAGAGCTTACTCTCCTCAACCATTAAAGTGAAGAGAGCACCAGCACCAACCGACTATGATTCGCCTTCTTTTCAAACGCAATCAAAGCCAAGGTGCTGGGCATAACCAATTCATTTCATTTTTGTTCACTGATATGTGTATAGCTCTCAGATTGACATCTCCTCCATGTGCACTGTGGTGAGCCCTTCATTTCTGGATTGTTTCTAAGTAGGCTTTAAGTTCTTCAGTGTAGATGGGGCTTGTTAAAAGCAATTTTAAGCGAGATTTAGCCCAGAGGTATATAGGTCAGACTGGAGCTAGAAAACGAATGAAGACACCTGTTAGAAGGAAGCTCGGTCTGTCACCACAGCCTGTTGTTTGAGTCCCTCAGAAGCTGGCTTCAGTGGCCCTTACTGCACACGACTCCTCAGCTCCTGGCCTTTCCAACCACACCTCGTGTCTTTGATGTGGCTGTGCTGTACCTTCCCAGATGGTATCCAGAGTGATTGGCACATTCCAGCTCACAGCAATGAAACCAGTGAACGGGGCAGACAGGGCTCCGGTGGGAGCCTGCCCAGCTCAGGAGAGCGTGGAACCACTCCTTTTTTTAGTACGTGCCCCTAGCGGGACCCGAACCTGGGACTCTCTGGTCCGCAGGCCAACACTCCAACCGCTGAGCCAAACCAGCCAGGGGTGGAACCACTCTTTCTGGTCTCAGTTGCAACGAGCAAACACTGGATAACAGAATCTTTTTGTAATAGAGTGGATATTATTTTAATAGTGATAGGAAACTTTTGTCTTTTTGTAAACACAATTCCAGTAGTTTTTTTTAAGGCCAATTTCTTCCACAAAGTAAGTAATTTTTCTTTTCTCTTAATTCTTATACAAATATCTAGAGTACCAACAACCATCCCCTTTTCTAACTTTCTCTAATGAATACAGTAAGCACAAAAGAGACGATATGTAAAAACGTTCAATCAACCTTAATAGAAGAATATATAAAGGTGGTATAAAGAGTATCACTTATTTTCTTTATTATTTCTTCTTATTTCCTTTACAAATTGAACAGCTGGCTGTTGGTCTTTTTGGTACAGGATTGATGTATATACATTTTAATTGTTTTAGAATATTTAAGAAGAAGACTCTTAAAATGTGTTTTCTTGGTACTGGCATCTTCTGATATGTGAAGTTGTCTGGACAAAGTATATGCACTGTTACCAATTAACATATGTCTAATTTAGGCAGATACTCAAACAAGCAGTGAGTAATGTTACATCAATGTTGGCAAAGGAACTCACTCCATTATTAGATAAGCTCTGGAGACTCTATTTATAGTTTGGTCACGAAACGAGCAGCTCCAGTTGTGACCGAATGACTGTCACTGTTAGTCTTAATAATAGCCAAGAAGGATTTGGGGCGAGCGTAAAGCTTTGTTTTTCTCTCTCTCGGATTCTCCTATTGCCGCTTGAGCCCTCATTTGAACACCTTCTTCAGGGACAGGCCACAGCGGGAGGAGCAGCAGGCTGCACGTGGCAGGAGTAACGGGTACTGTCCTCGCCCATCAGCCTCAGCCCGCACCCGAGCACACGCTGCTCTCTCCCACCAGCCCCCAGCCAGACTCCCCCGAGAAATGAGTTTGAAGCAGTTTTCGTTCCTATCACTAGTGGAAAAGTATCCGTGATATTACAAAAAGATTCTGTTATCCAGGATTTGTGAATTGCAGCTGCGCCCAGAAACACGCACAGCTTCAGAGAAAACAATGGAAGGAAACATCTGAAAGTCATTTTCCCCTGTTCTTTGTTGTTCTGCTACTCACGGCAAATCTTCCAAACTGGAGGCTTCATGTCTTGGATCCAACAGATCATAACCACATTCATTGTAGATTTCCAAATAAGAAATGTGAGTTGTGTATATTTTGCTGCTGTCCTGATGGGGAAAGGGGGAGACGTGATTTAATGGCTATAAGTAACGATGCAGCTCAGAGGAAGATGAACACATTCGTCATTGAAGCTTCCTCACAGTTTCTCTCTCACTTTGTATGGTTTACATTTGCCGTTCGTGACACTTTCAGCTTGCCAGCTCCCACATGCAAGAAGCTTTTTTATTTAATGACCAATACCCATGATTATAAGCAACCAAGTAACTTCAGCCTGTTACTTTGTATTGGTTCCACTTTACAGGTAAGAAGTCAGTATACACTTACAATGAGCTGACTTGGTCGCAGAACTGTATAACACCACTTTTTACTTTCCAGACCAAAAGAAAAAAATGGTTACTAAGAAAAAGTAAACTTACATTCTGTGTAAGTATATTCATAAAATAGTCTATTCATAAAAGAGCACAGAATTGTTACTTTGGTTTACAAACTTCAGTAGGCCCAGCCAGTTGGTGTGGCTCAGTGGTTGAGTGTTGACCCAGGCACCAAGAGGTCACCGGTTCAAATCCCAGTCAGGGCACATGCGCAGGTTGTGGGCCTGATCCCCAGTGGGGGGCATGCAGGAGGTGGCCAGTCAATGTTCTCTCATTGATGTTTTTATCTCTCTCTCCCTCTCTCCTCCTCTCTCTCTAAAATCAATAAAGAAAAAGAAATAATCAACTAAAAGAAACTTTAGTAGCAAAAGAGTTTCCATCTTTAATCACAAATCTCTTTTAGCTTTTCTAATATTCAAATTTTCTAATGACATAAATAGCTAATGGGCAATAATTAGATAATGTCAAGTTAATTCCAGGGGCCAGAACAGTTTAGATCAATCAGGTAATTGTAAGGGTGGACATTACCAGCTCATCGCCCATACCTTACCTGGTTAATTTTTCTGGCCCACTGGCAAATCAGGGATATTCAGCTACTGATTAGAGAGAGGTATTTTGTGTGGCTCACAGCTAAAAGCAATGACATAGGTGTCAAAGAAATTAGGATAAAAAGTCAAGGGGACTGGTTCCATGGTTCTGGTCTTAGTTCTGTCTACAGATAAACAGAACCCACTCCCACTGCAGTGCAATAGAACAGGGAAGTTTTTCAGCTCCTGAGAAAATTCCACGTTCAGTTTTTAATACAAAATATCAAATAGTAGCTCCTTCTTCTTGTTCCTCCCAAAACATTATGCAGAGATTCTCCTGCTTCTCCTAAGAGGAGACTCTGCTTGTGCCCTGTGCATGAAGTCAGCAGGCTGTCAGAATGCATATTCATGGACAGGGTTTCCTTAAGATGACCGCCCTGGTTAATCCTCCCCCACAGCCAAGATAATCCATTGAACAGGCGTTCTCCAGGGAGAGCGAGCCCCGAGTCGCAGAGACGGGGAGAGAGCAGGGGCCTGCAACCCCGAAGCTGGAATTCTACTTCTACCAGCTGTGAGCCCTGCTCTGTCCGGCCTCAGTTTCCACATCCACTAAAGGACGGAAGCTGGACAATGAATTCCTACGTGTTCTTCATGCTGAAATTAATATAATTCTCTGGCCCTGAAATGGCTCGAACTATTCAAATAAAGATACCACCATTTCACAAAAACAAACTAATACATGAAAAATTAAAGCAACTCTGAATCAGTTCACGACTGTAACAAAATGCTCAAGCTACAGGCGAAAGTTCACGTCCTGGTGCTCCGTGAAGGCGACAGCGTGCGCTGAGCCGCCACAGAGCACGTTTCTTCCAAGTAAGTGCTGGGAATCCCACCAAAGTGCACCCCCGCTGCTAACCCTGCAAGTGGTCGGTCCGTCCCATCGGCACCCCCACTTGGTGAAGGCACCCTTCCGACACCGTTCTGGGGGTTGAAGCCTGGCTTAGTGCAGGTACCAGAGACTGTAACTACTAGGTAGGCTCAGTGTGGTTTTAGCTTGATGCCGTGTTTCCTAAAACATTCCATGAAATACTCATGAAAAAACTGATCCGTGGTCAACGTACACACGGTGCGCAGAAGTCGGTGTACGGTTGCTGAGTACATGAAACAGTTTATTTGTGTGTCATTATTTATTAACTATTGTATCATTTTCCAAAGGAACAGCTGTAAACCTACTTGTGCCCCACCCTGTGTGTACTGTTTTTGGAAGGTTCTCAGAGTACATTCAAGGTCATGGCAACATCCTGAGACCCTGTTTAAAACAACATTTTTCTAAAGCTTATCTGAACATATCTGAACTATTACACAGATTGTGGTTGGAGGTTTTAGCACACACTTCTGAGCTCCTCTTAGCATTAGACAGAAAATGGAGTTGAAATGCCGGATTTGCCACTTGTAACTGGGAGATCCTGCACCCTAATCCTCAGTTGTTTAACCAGGAAAATGGGGATAATAACCCTAATCTTACAGATCTGTTGTGACAAAAAAATACGGCTTTGTTTTAAAATCACACCAAAAACGTGTGGCTTGTCATAGGCACCAACAGATCGCTGCTGTTGCTGCTGTTATTACTTATTTCTAAAGTCTTCAAATGGAAAATTCAGTATATGAATATAAAAAGAAAGGAAAACAGATAAAAAAACAAAAATAAAACACCTAGCTAGCCCTGGCCAATTTGGCTCAGCGGTTAGAGCGTCAGCCTGCAGTCCAAAGAGACCCGGGTTCGGTTCCCGCTAAGGGTGCGTACCTCGGTTGCAGTTTGTCCCCGGCCCTGGTTGGTCATGCGGGTGGCAGCCACTCGATGTGTCCCTTTCACGTCGATGTTTCTCTCTCTCTCTTCCTCTCTCTCCCTCCCGCTCTATCTGAACAAAAAATGGAAAAAAAAAGTCCTCGGGCGAGTATATAAAACAAAAACAAAAACACCTGGCTAATTTCTATGTCCATTTGCAGTGGAGAAACTCTCTTCCTTCAGAAATTAGAAGAGATCATAAACAGTCAGGGAAGCGGCAGGCCCCGGCCTGAGATGGTAGGGATAAGGTCTCTGGCTCCTCGGCTCCTGCATTTTCTGGGCTTTTATTGGAATACAATCCGCCGAGCTATGTGGCAGCTACCTTTCCTTATTACCCTTTTCTCAGTGCTCGGGATTGCCAGACTGTAATGTAACACACATGTTTCCTGCAGACAGCCGTTGCTTCTGCCCCCAAACAAGTTTGAACCTCACAATACTAAAAAATAATGAGTGGTGATTTCTAAAATAAATGGACTCCATTTTCTGCTTTTAAAGTCATTGAAAATGTGCTCCTATCACACACACGGCTACTTTAGGACCCAGAATGCACTGGCTGTTAGTTTATCTTGAAATAAACAGTCAAATGTTTTATTTAAGAATTCTAGCAAGCTCCATGTGGCCCTCTGAAGCAATCACTTGGGGGCAGCTGAGCACCTGTCAGCATTTTTCGGCCGTAGGTCGTGGGCAAACTATGAGGCACGTTCAATGCCCCTGACGTGTTCTGCTGCAGTTCAGTCTGATCACAATGAATGTGCTGTCCCCGTCATGGAAACCGTCCATTTCCACAGAGCTGGCCTGGCTGTAAATTGGCCTGATGGCCTCTCTCCAACCTCAGGAGCATTCAGAATGAAATGGGTTTAGAGTAACGTCAATGACAAACATATAAAACAATGAACCCGGCACATGGTAGGCATTTGGGAGACAGGTAGACTTTTAGAACTGTAATTTGGTAACCACAGACAAAAATTTAAAGAGCGACAAGTGTGTTTCCTATTAGGAAAGGATTTGTTTATTCTGTTTAACTTTATCGGGGGAATTGGCTTCATTTAAAATTGGTCAGGGATCTTTTGTCTGTACGCATATATTTAGTACAGTAAGTCCTCACTCAATGTCATCAATAGCTTCTGTGGTTGTAAGAGAGATGACGTATAAGCAAACCCGTTTTACCATAAGCTAATTGATATGAACAAGGGTTAAGTTCCTATGGCATCTATCAGCTTCATAATAAAACTGTTCAACGAGATGACGCTGTTGGAGGACCTGCTGTATGTGGATATTGACAGCTGTAGTAATAACGATCACGTTTTGAGTATCTACTATGTGCCAAGAACCGGGCAGTACCTCAAACACAGTCTGCTCAGCTCTCAGAGCAACTCCACAGGCCTGGAACTTCAAGAAACTACCCCAGTCCACATGCTGTACGTAGAAACAGGTTGGCCTGCACAGACTCCCATGACCTCTCCGGGGCAACAGGCTTCCACACTGGGCCCCAGCAGTAAACACCATTACAAATTATATTCCCAGTCTGTGAAATCTGGGGGGTGAGGGAAGCAGCTAATGTCAGAAATCAATGTCAGAAATCAAGTTAAAAGAAGGGATGTGGATCCAACATACGCACTGTACTCAACTCTTTCTGTTTCCAATACTCTGGCATGCAGAGCTGGAACGTTGGAGCTGGTGAGAGATGAGCTGCACTAATGGGTAATTGCTACTTTATGGATGGAAATTGGAACTATGCAGATCTCAGCGATTTCTTCTCATTGTCGCAGCTTAAAATGCAAACAGCATACAGTTGAGAAATGTTGGAATGACTGTTACACTGACCTGGTTAGGACATTTGTTATGCAGAATTAGCACAACCAAGCACTTGTTGGAGCTACCAGGGACAATGGAGATCCTCTAGTAACATTCGCTCGCTCCTTCCACAGAGGGAGAACAGACCCAGAGCAGCGGCTCAGAGTAGAGAACCTACTTAAATACAGCCCAGTCTGGGATACAGAGACGGTGTGCGTAGTGATAAAAAGCAGTCTGGCATCACACACCTGGGGTGGGCCTCCAGATCAGCCACCTACAAGGACCCAGGGAAAGACATTTGATCTGGGACTTAGTCCCCCAGTATGAAATGGGGCTGAGGATCCCGATGCTGTTAGTTGAACTATATGTTGTATTAAACACTGACGAAGCAACTGGCCCTTGGAGAGGCACAATAAATGACGCCTATCATGCAGATAGAAAATTTGTCTTTATAGTGATAGTAACTGCAATAGGACTTTTACTCTGGTGGATAAATTCCTGTGGGCTTCTATTAAAGGTGTGATAAAGGAACAATCACATTCATCTGTTCAGTGCTTTAGCAGCTAAAACAAGGGTCTGTTTTGTCAAACGGGCATTCTTCAGTTTCTTATTGAAGAATACAAGATACTGGTTGTAAGATGGGCTGTCTGTCCTCTTCACCTCCGCGTGTCTCTGGGACCTCCCTTTGAACCTTTGCTGAAGCAGCATCCCTTTAATGAGAAGCACCTTCCTAATTCCCACTTCGTCAGCAAAATCCCAAACTCCCCTTCAGTGTAAAGGCCAGCATTCCTGCGCAATAATACTTTCTCATTTAGATACCATATAATAAAATGTCACAATACATTGTTTGCCCACAGTAAATTTCTGCTGAATACGTCAAATAAAAAATGAACTTATAGTTCCATACCTTTTGCAATTGCTCAAAAATGTATGACAGCGTCCTTGGGATAATGCCTCTGTCGCTGTAGCGCTCTGCTCCGCCGGTGATGGTGAACGTCTTACCGCTGCCGGTCTGCCCATAGGCGAAGATGGTACCGTTGTAGCCTGCCAGGACACTACCGAAACAAATGACACGCTTTAAACATCAAAATGGCGATTGCTTTTGTATGAAATGGCTCATACGATAAAAGCAATCTGATCCGCCAAATGTTGAAGACACCTATAGGAATTTTTATGTATGTGCGTATCTCGCTAGATTTATTTTCTGAGCCAGGAGCCTCAGCACATCGATCTTTTCTTTTTCTAAGAAAGGACCTGCAACAATATGGGGGGCAGACATCTGAAATATTCTCTTTTTCAAAAACATTAGATTTTTATATTTTAGAATAGTTTTATGTTTACAGAAAAGCTGCGAAGATGCTACAAAGAGTTCACATATACCCTATACCCACTTTCCCCAAATTCCCCCTATTGTACATTTGTCACAACTAATGAATCAAGATTGATGTATTAGTACAAACTTTATTAAAATGTCCTTGGTTTTGCCCGGCCAGTGTGGCTCAGTGGTTGAGCACTGACCCATGCACCAAGAGGTTGCCGGTTCGATTCCTGGTCAGGGCACATGCCCAGGTTGTGGGCCCGGTCCCCAGTGTGGGGCATGCAGGAGACAGCCAATCGATGTTCTCTCTCATCGATGTTCCTATCTGTCTCTCCCTCTCCCTTCCTCTCTCTGAAACTCAACAAGAAATAAAAATAAAAAATAAATTTAAAAAATAAATAAAATGTCCTTGGTTTTTATATGACGTCTTTTTCTTCTTTTCAGCTTTACTAAGATACAGTAATTGACATACAACATATGCAAGTTTAAGGTGTACAATGTGGTGGTTTGATATGAAATGATTGCCATAATAATATTCGTTAGCCTGTCCACCACCTCACATAATTACCATTTCTTTTGAAGTGATAACATTTAAGATATACTCCCTTAACAACTCATATATATATAAAGTTAGATTTTTATATATGATACAATATTATTAACTATAATAATACAGTAACCAGGCTGTAAGTTAGATAACTAGAACTTATCCATCTTATAACTGGAAGTTTGTACCCTTTGACCAACATCTCCTCGTCTTCCCTACCTGTAGTTCCTGGCAAGCACCACTTCAGTCTCTATTTCCATGAGGGAGGCTTTTTAGATTTCACATATAAGAACATACAGTATTTCCCTGGCCGGTTTGGCTTAGTGGTTAGAGCATTGGCCCAAGGACTGAAGGGTTAGGGGTTTGAATCCAGTCAAGGGCACATGCCTGGGTTGCAAGTTCAATCTCTGGCCCCAGTGGGGGTCGTGTGGGAGGCAACCAATCGATGTCTCTCTCTCATATAGATGTTTCTCTCTCTTTCTCTGCCTCTCTCCCTCCCTCCCTTCTACTTTCTCTAAAAATCAATGAAAATAATATCCTTGGGTAAGGATTAACAAAAAAAAAAAAAAAAAGCAACCAAAAAACCCAGAACATATGGTATTAGTATTGCTCTGACGATTTGCTTAGCATCATTCTCTCAAGGTCCATCCACGTTGTCACAAAGGGCAGAATTTCCTTCTTTCCATGGCTACATAATGTTTTGTGTGTGTGTATACATACATCTCCTTTATCCATTCATCCAGCAGTGGACACTAAGGTTTTTCCATACTCTGGCTATCGTGCATAATGCTGTAATAAATGTGGGAGTGCCAATACCTCTAAAATAGTGATTTCATTTCCTTTGGATGTATACCCAGCAGTGGGATTGTTGGGTCATATGACTGTTTTAGTTTGAATTTTTAAAGAAAACTTCATACTGTTTTTCATAGTGGCTGCACCAATTTATACTCTCACCAACAACAGTACACAAGAATTCCCTTCTCTTTACATTCTCTACAACACTGTTTTCTCTTGTCTTTTTGATAACAGCCATCCTAACAAGTGTAAGGAGCTATCTCACTGTTATTTTCAGAAAAAGACAAGTACCATATAATCGCACTTATATGTGGAATTTGAAGAACAACATAAATGAACAAACAAAATTAAAACAGAGTCATAGATACAGAAAACTGGTAGTTACCAGAGGGTATAAAATGTTGGGGCACGAGGTGTAAGGACTAAGAAGGACAAATTGGTAGTTATGAGTAGTCATGGGAAAGTAAGTGAAGTATAAGAAATATAGTCAGTAATATGATAACTATGTATGGTGCCAGTTAGGGTACTGGAAATTTGAAGGGAATACTATGCAAAGTACATGATTGTCTAACCATTAAGCTGTACATTTAAAACCAATACACAATTAAAAAACAAAACAAAACAAAACACTAATGTCAAAAAAGGAGATATCTGTATACTCTCAACACTAAAAAAAATAAATAAAACACCAATGCTACATTTCACATTTATAACTGACAGATGATTCATTGTGAAACAGCCTTCATCCTCACATTTTGAGCTGTCATAGATACACCTACACACAGTTTACTTTTTCCATCTCTGAGTGAAATGTCACATATCTGTCCCTATTAAACTTCATTTCACTTCTAATTCCCTTGTTCAGTTTGTCAAGGTCCTGATGAAGTCTTACAGTGTGGTTCTAGTCAACAATCACCCCTACTCAATATATAAGGAAAGATGTAGCGAGTGCTGTAAACGAGGAGCCCAGCTTCGTTCTCTTGCATGTGAATCTACAGTTCTCCCAGCACCGTCATCGAAGAGACTATCCTTTCCCATTCATGTTTCTTGGCTAACTTGTCAAATATTAGTGGACCGTGTAAGCATGGGTCCTGCTCCATCGGTCTATGTGTCTGTTGTACCAGTGCCGTATCATCTGTATGACTCCAGGTTTGTAATGCAGTTGTGATGGGTGGGATGTTCTGTATTTATCTGCTAAGCACATTTGTTCTAAGGTACAGTTCACATCCAGTGTGAACTGGTCGTCACTGCTCTAGGTAATTGAAGCCTCTAACTTTAAGGGTCAAACCTTAAACATTTTTTATAGAAAACTTTCTAAAATATATAGGCAGCCCTGGCTGGTCTGGCTCAGCGGTTAGAGGGTAGGCCTGCGGTCCAGAGAGACCCAGGTTCGGTCCCCGCTAAGGGCATGAACCTTGGTTGCAGTTTGTCCCCGGCCCCGGTTGGGGTCGTGTGGGTGGCAGCCAGTCGATGTGTCTCTTTCACATTGATGTTTCTTTCTCTCTCTTCCTCCATGTCGCTGTATCTAAAGATGAATGCAAAAGTGTCCTTGGGTAAGGATTAAAAAAAATAATAATAAAATAAAATATGTAGGCATTTTGTTTCTTAAAAAACAAAGAATACAGAGCACAAATTAGCATTTCACTTAGACTTAGCTAAGCCTATGAAACATGAGTGCTATAATGTGCTTCATTGTTACTTGCTGATGGTTATTTTTTAAAATGTTTTCATTGATTTTTTTAGAGAGAGAAGGAAGGGAAAGAGAGAAACATCAACGTGAGAAAGAAACATAGATCAGCTGTCCCCTGCACGCCCCCTACTGGGGATCAAGCCCGAAACCCAGGCATGTGCCCTGACTGGGAATTGAACCAGGACTTTTCAGTCCACAGGACAATGCTCAATCCACTGAACCACACCGGCCGGGCTGTTGTCTACGTTTTATAGGTAAATCTTTCTCACTGCTAGAGCTGCCTAGCATACCTGCCCCTAAGGTGTGTTCCTTTCCCCACATCTGTTGTGGGATAGAAAACTACGTGGTAAACTTGAGAGTGCTGTGTAAAATACAAAGGAGCTGTGGAACACCTATATATACTCTCGGTCTATTTATTACTGAAACATAATAAATAATTAAAGGCACAAAATGTATCTCTACTCCCTTTTCTCTAGAGCCTCTTCTCCACTGGGCACTGGGCAATTTCATATGTTTCCAGTCTCTCTGTCCTAAGGAAAGATACTAATTTAAAATAAAGAAAGAGAACTGGTGGATTAAGGATCTTTGTAAATTCATGGCCCTGGCCAGGTTGCTCAGTTGGTTGAAGTGTCATCTCAATACACCAGGGTTGCAGGTTGAATTCCTGGTCAGGGGACACACAAGAATCAAGGGTCAACCGATGTATGCATAAATAAGTGGAACAACAAAACTTGCTCTCTCTCTCTCTCTCTAAAAATCAATAAAAAGAAAATCTATCCTCCAGAGGAACAATGAGAACAGAGGAAAAAATGTCAAAATCAACTTTTTAAGAACCTGGAAGCTGTCAGGAAGCCAGAGTACTCACTTAAGAAAAATGGCTGAATCTCAGTAGAACAGGAAGATTTGCGGTGTGTGAACGTGGCCACTCCCATTGCCTTCTCCCCTGCTCCGTGGCAGCCCCCACAAACAACAGCTTTGCCCCCACAGAGACGAGCAGCTCCTGGAGCGGGCGCTGCATGTTTGGAGGGTCCCCGACGCCCAAAGCATTGCACTGCTCTGACCTGTCTGGCAGCTTCCAGGAATAGCCTCACTCACAGTATTTGCCTTTGTTTGTCCTGACTCAGAGTTCACTACAAACAGGACAAACAGTTCTACCCCCATGGTAGTTTTTTTTTTTTTTAATCATAATGCGTGTTTAACGCCACGGTTGCTTTAGGCTGCGATACCAACAAGGCAAACAAATGGGTGAGTAAATCTAACAATAAAAATCCGTGAAACACACGGTCTCTAAGAGGCTTTAAAAAGTTATGACATAGTCCTGGGCCTCTAGAAGCCCACCTACATATGCAGGTGTTTGCATGCCCAGGAAAGACCCGAGGTCTGTATCTCCCACCCTGGCTGACCTGGAGGCTCTGCACACGCAGGAAGTGAAGGCTAAGGCAGAGCCCCAGCTCCCAGTGCACACAGGGAGCCCTTGGTCAAAGGGCTGGAGACGGACCGGTCGAGGTATTTACGGACACCTCTGTCCAGTCGTTAGCTGACTGCTGAGCGACCTGAGCCAGATTTCAGAGGCTGCATGCTATGAAAAATACAGGCTTCACAGAATTAGCCCAGAAAATTCACCTAAACAAACAGCAGCAGCAACAACAATAACAATAACAATAAAAAACCAACCTTGGAAAGGGTGGGACTCTGATTTCCAAAG